GTACAGGGATCCAGGTGAAGGGTTCTAATGCGAGCAGACTGCTCGATATGTGGCAGATCGCGTTCCTCGGAACGAGGCATGACGAGGGTTCGAATATTTTCGATATCGGTGTTCCTCGAAACGAAAGTCCTGTCTACACTTTCCAATTCGAATATTCCCGAGATCGAACTGCTTATCCAAAGGCTTCCATGTGTGGACGTATTCATTCGGATTCGAGTATCCTCGATATCATCGATGCTCGTCGAATCGCAGGTGCTCGATTTTTATACTTATGCCTCGTTAATTCATAAAGAGGCGAATTTATTATTCTTCGATTTTGCAATTTCAGAGTCTGAGAGAGACTTTGAATCACGATTCCGATTGTGGGAAGTTGAAATTTCTCTGGTGGATACTGTTGTGGTTCAAAGGTAGTCAGAAGAATTGGAATATTCTTAAATTCTCCATATTCGGGTTTCGAAAGCCTACACCTGGAACTCGAAGACTATTATCCATCATAGGTACCATATGCACACCACTTCTTTCGAAATACACGCAACCAAATATACGAAATACCTATGTGCACATGCACAATACCCTGAGATTTTTCGAATCGATACCTTCTAATTCGAAGATAGTAAGAAAAGTTTCAAAATTTCCTATATTCGAGTTCCAAAAGCCTCTACCTAGAACTCGAAGACCAACATCTACCATAATCGCCACATCCGCATCATTTTTCTCAAAATACACGTAAGCAAATACTCGAAATACCTATGTGCACATGCACAATACCCTGAAATTTCTCGAATCGATACTTTCTAATTCGAAGATAGTAAGAAAAATTTCAAAATTTCCTATATTCGAGTTTCGAAAGCTTCCATCTTGAACTCGAAGAGTTCCATCACCTACCATAGACCCCACATCCACACCATTTCTTTCGAAATACAGGCAATCAAATACACGAAATGTCTGTGTGCACGTGCATAATAGCCCTGCATAGAGCCGCAGAGATCGAAAAATTCGAAAGATCCGTGGATCTGACAGATACGATACTATCCGTGGTTGGCAGGAGCCGAGGATTAGCCGCGAATAGCAACACATACTCGGCTGGCACGTGACGACCTCGACGTGTGGGCCGCGGAGAGGAAGACGAGCGTGGCCTGGGTAGCGTGTCGCAGCTGCAGCTGCCGCGAGCGCGTAGGATTCGCTAGTACATAAACCGTGACAGCGTCCGCTTCTTCGGGATAGACCCACGCTGTTTCCGTTGGTTCGCGCGCCGGCCAGCAGCCGCGCGTAACGCGAGATTCCTCGTGAAACCCGCTCGCGTAGTACGTGTAACGCGCTTGTCCCTATCAGCGAGTAAGTAATTACTCAGCGATGAACCGCGACCGTCTATCCTCCTCTCTCCTGTGACCGAGCACGTTGCACGGAGCGAGACAGACATAGAGGAAAGCAAGCCGATCCGATCACGCGAAATTGCCAGATAAATTGGCTCGGATGTAATCGGAAACTTAATGGCCGCGATTAACCCCTCGACGAGCAAATTGCGGCTTAGACCAGTGACGAGCTGCTCGCTTTTGCTTAGAAATTCAACGGGATGCTTCGCGGTGCTTCTTCCTCCTCTTTACTGCTTTTTCTTCCCACCACTTTTCCATCTCCTCGAGATTCCTCCCGGCCAATTCGCGCGGACGCGCGTCAGTATCGGCTCGTAACCGCGGGAAAATAGTTAGAGAGGTTAGGGACACCGAGCGCTCAGAATTATTGCAGTTTCCATCGCGACGACGCTGCGTGATAATTGAGAACTTTGCAGTAGGTTGGAATTATAATAAAGACGGAGAATCGATGACGTAGAATCCATTGTATGGTGTCTTTGTCCGTTCTTTGTCGTGGCCAAAATGGTACCCAGATTCGGTACTCTTTCCTAGGCTCCCTCTGGTAAACAGACATTCGTCTACAGGGAACTGTATTACCGACTAGGTAGCTTTAGGAATTTTATTGGGGAATAAAATGGATTATATATGAGATCATCGAGTAAATTTTGTTTTATACTAAATTTAATTAAATATTCGAATATTCGAGGCATTTTTATTTTTACATCTTCCTTCGATTAAAATGGAAAATGGTGATCGATGAAAAATTGTATAAATATTTGAAATTTGGTAATATGTATTTTCTACGTGAAAAATAGAGTATAATTTTTACTAAAATGTAGTGTAATAGACTCTGTTTATTCGTATTTATTTCTCAATTTCTAATATGATTTCTGGTTCTTTCCAGATCGGCACGATGGCGCCATCTACCAGGGAGCTATCCACCTCGGACGAGAACACGGAAATCCACCCTCGGAGAACCCATTCCATAACTCACCGACGATAATCTCGCGTTGAAATTTATTCCAGCCATCCAAATTCAAATTTCCTACCGTTTAGGATGCACGGTAATTCGAATATTAACTCTAACCTCTGATTTCCAGGCGCGGGGAGAAAAAGAACTCGTTTCGCAACCCACCAAGAAATGTCTCGTCGAATAGAATTAACGGATCTATTTGCGTAACCGAACGGCCGCCGCGAATTAATTCAGCCCCCCGTGGCGAGATGGAAAAATTCATTGGGCGGCTGACAGCTTTACAGTCGCGACGGTCCCCGAGGTGAAACACATTACGGTGGAAGTCCAGCAGCGAAACGGCCGAGAAGAAAGGCGATCCGTGATCCTCGTGGAGATTTTTTCGCGAAAACACGCGTTTCTGGATAGCCGAGGGCACAAGAAGACAACCGACAATGGCATCGTCCCGACGTGGATCGCTAAACGAGCACGGCATTCAACGACCCCTCTTCCCTAAATGGCCACCGGTCGGATGGTACCATTAAGGGCATGGCGCGAGTTACGTCCCTGGCATTCGCGCAAACTCCACGGAATCACAATCGAATCGCCGTAATGATCGATTTCTGTGTAGCGAAAGAAGCGACGCGGCGCGGAATTTTTGCCCCCCTTCTTCCTCGAATCTCGTCGCCGGTAAGACAAATAGTTGGACAGGGGAATGAAAGAAGATATGTGGTACTTACCTGATTGCTCTTTTTTTCTCATGTAAAAAATTTACAAACGTTACATTTCGCTCGGTTTTCTCGCGAGAGTTGCGGATACAGGTTAGATCGATCGCGAGTAACCGACCAGCCTCGGTTAGCGGCGGAAACTTTCGAAGAATGTAACTGCAAATGGCGCAACTGTTGTTTCGCGGCGCGGACAGATGGCGCGTACGTAACGGTATATATTCCACGTATCGCGACACGCTCGGTCACTTCTTAGCACGGTTCTTCGCGTCTTCGTGACAGGCGAACGTTAGGTATCTCTGAAACTCGTCTCGAATTCGTAAATACCATCTCGCATCGAACAGAAGCTTAATTTACAAGGGATGAACGTCTTTGAGCATTATCTCCATAGAACTGAACTCGAATTGCCAGCGCCAATGAGTAGATACGGAGAAGCTTCGAAACGATTCTCGAATGGATTCCTCGAGCGTTTCATATTAACCTCGAATTATAATTCGTAAGATAGGAATACGACATGAAAAATATAGCTCTTACTCATCGACCCTCCCAATCGAAGGCCAGCCTGTAAAATCATGAACAGCGATGAACACTCGAAGCAACGTTCGATTTTCCACCAGTTTATTAACCCTCACATTTCCATCCCTCTCTTATTGCCTATTGTCCGTTGATTCCGCCGGTTGACGAGCCGATAAAGCAGGGAGGAGAACTCCGTGTCCCAGGCGAAAACGTTCGGGGTAAAAAACTCATAGGTGTGTACGATCCGTTTCGAATCGATGAAATGAACCGTCGTGCGGCAACGGAAGGGTCCGCGTGGGTGTTCCGGATGTGTACAAATACTGTCGTTCAGTGATACAAAAAGGATGGCGAATCGGATCGAACGACGATTTTATAAAAGGGAATGCCGGAAGAAAGAAGCAGGGGATCGAAGGTTCAGAAAAATTGTGCGTTTATTAGAGAAGATGACGCTCGGCCAGTTTCACCGTATTCACTTCTTTTCACCAGCGTTCTCGTTTCTTGCCCCGTCCTCGACGCGCCTCAACCCCCGCGTCGTTCTTTTCCAACCCCTCTTCGGCTTTCCGCGCGTTTCCACGAAGAATCTCTGCACCTGTCTCTTTGATCCTCGTCGATTCTCGTCGATTCTCTTCGATTCTCATCGCGAATAATTTTTCCCAAATGTTGTCGCGAATGTTACCCCCGAATGGGAAATGGGGAGGAGGAAACGATGGAGGAGGGTGACACGTGAAAAATGAAATTGGCTGTAAGCGTTCGTTACGAAGGAAGTCAGCGTTGCAGGTGTAAGTTCTGGTTTTGGGGGGTCGAGTCGAAACGAGATTCTACGTGAAACGACAGTGTTATGGGGGCAAAGGGGGATCGTCTCGTGGTTGTTTCGTCGATCGATCGGAGGGTGGAAAGCAACGAGACGGGGGTTGCACAGCGTCTGGTTCTCCGTGCAATGCTCGATCGCGAATGATGTCTTCTCGCAATGGAACTGGATACGGAATAATGAAAAGATCGTCCGATATTGTCTCTCTTTCTCACCCTCACGCTCACTCCCGCCCACTCTCTCCCGCCCTTTCTCTCCCCTCGCGCGCGATTCGCACCCTGCCACCATTTATAATGCCGAACATATGTAGCACATGTACGTGTTTTCATATATATTTATAATATATATATATATTTTTTTTTGTTTTGGATTCCTTTTCTGTTCATATATATAGATATATATATATATATATGTATATTCATATATTCGCATGTATAATTAGGTTTATCTTCCATCATCCGCCGTCGTGTTTACTATCTAGAATATTATCTACAGGGCAGTAGCCAACCGCTGTGACTGACTGTGCGAACTTTTAGTATTTTTCAACGCTCTTTATTTCGTCTTATTCTCCCTTCTTTTATTTTATTTCTCTTCTCTTTCTCTCTTTTTCCTTTTCTCTCTTTTTTTTTTTTTCTTTTTTTTCGGTTGTGCAATCAGCTCGCGACGATTTCGCGCGTCTTTACCTCCCTAAGCGTCGCTGATCGATTTCCTAGCGATTAGGTTTTTCTTCGGCTCAGCCACGTGGCCAGGGACGTATATTTCAACCCTATATCGCGGGGACGAAAAGATCGTAAAAAACTCGTGGAACGAAGAAAATGGTAGTATCAAATAAAAGTCTCGATATAAAGAAGTGTAGACTCAGATTTTTAATCGTTTTTCGCTTTTTTCCCTTTTTTTCTTTTTTCTTTTTTTGTTTTTTTTTGCCTTTTTGATATTTCGTTTCTCGTCTCGTGGTTCTTTCGTATGTTTTTTTTTTTTTTATTCTCATTATTTGCAAGGTCAGGGATGAAACAGTGCGAACACAGAGGAACGTGACTCCAGTTCAGGTGTCCATCGGTTTTATTTGCTCGTGGATGGGTAAAATTGTGCAGTTCACGAGATAAGTGGAACCCTGGTCACGTGTCTGTCGTGTGCGTGTGTGTTCGAGCGCGTGTCTCGTGCGAGGCACGCAAAAATTCGGTTCGTTTCCGCTCCGCAGTTCCACTCGTTCCTCGTTCTCGTTCCGTACCGAGCGCGCTGCTTTTTGAGATCCGTCGAGATGAGATCAACGTGTCGAACGTTCGACCGTGTAAAGCGACTTAACTGTCGATTAAGTACCTTCCCGTAACGAATTTTCCGCTGTAGAATACGAAAAGAAAGAGAAATTTTGCAACGTTTACACCGTCGAACAGTCTCCCTTCTACACGAGTTCAAATTTCCCGCGCGAGGAGCGTAGATGTCGCGACACGTTCGGTTGCCCCGACGATTGTTCGGCATTTTTGCAAAGAAGAATAAATATTCGTCGCGTCTCCGAGGGTAGAGAGGAAAAATAAAAGACGTTGGCGAGAACGAAATTCGAAGGGACCGCGCGTGACGCGACATCTAGGCGCTGCCGCGGCATCGACAAAATGGCGAACGGTATTCCAAATGGTGGTTCGTAACTCGCGTGCCGAGTTGAAGATATTCCCCGCTTAGGCCTTTCACTTTCATCGACGCCCATCGTCTTCGAGCGATGCTGACTAGATCGTACATCGTTTTCTCTTTCTTCGACTCTTCTCTTCCTTTTTCTTCTTCTCTTCTCTTCTTGGTCATCGAGGCAATCGAGGCTAATTCGACCCATGGCGTGTCTCGCTGGCAGTAACTCGGTGTACGCTGTTTTGAGGACGACTAGTTGCTTCGTCCGACGGGATGGCGGCCATCTTGGCGGACGATCCACGCGAAATGGAAGTAAAATGGCGCCCGGTTTCGCTGCGTGGCAGGCGTCGATGGGGAAGATCGTCGAGGGCTACTTTCTCGTCTACTCTCTTCCTCCTCTTCGTCCCTATCGCCCGAACAGAGGGTGTAGAAGAAATATTCCGCTCGTGCTTGGTGCGACTCGATCGGTTGTAAAATGGCGATCGGTTTGGTTCATCTTTGGCTACGTTTTGAGCATAACGTCCGTGCGTCCCGTGATCCCTTTCTTGCGCGCGATCATCCACGATTTCACGGATCTCTCTGTTCATGTCGGAATATGTTCCACGGGTTCGTATACGAAGCAGAGAAAGTTTGAAGGGAATTAGTCGGAGCGCAAGGGGTGGAATTAATCGGGTCTCCGTTATTAATTGGATTGTCGAGGCACGGTGCCGTCTGGGTCGATCCTGAATCGCGAATGCGTATTTAAAGAAACTTCGATGAAACGAGGAATAATATTCGAAAAATAGTGTCGAGGGTGGGTCGCATTGGCGATTCAAGGTCGAGTACATCGATTTCACAAGCCTATTCGTGAACCTGCTTACGTTTCTACGGCGCTATTGCGATGGTAATGAAGTACTTTACAACGCCCCCGCAATCGAAGTACGCTAACGCTCGTCGCTATTCTCTGACCTGGCATTCTAAAGTCGAACGACTTGCTTTTCATCCTTAATCGGTCTCCATCTCGACGACCTTTCGCGAACGAGTGTCCCGCGGACGAGGCTCTCCTTTTTACAATTTGTTCGCTAATAAATTACTTCAATCTTCGTGGTCCCGTTGCAGAAATCGCGATCGTGACGCGACGAACGTGGCGTCGTCGCTTCGATTTCCAGGTTCGTCCGTCACTTTACAGATAACACCGGGTGAAACGTGACTCTTTTCATCGCAAACGCAATATCGTCGTCGAAAAGAGCGTTTTCTTTCACAGGGGGTCCTCGTCGCGGTGACACTCGTCTTGATACGTCACTGGGCAACGGTACTTCGATATTTCCTCGAGATTCGGAGCGTTCGGCGATCGGTTCGATTATAAAGACGTTTCCAGCGATGGATATTGCTTGTGTGGCGACGTTTCTTACACACCCGCGTTTCTCGAAACGTGCAGCGCCCCCTATGCTGCGAGAACTCGGGTCACGGTCTGCTTTGCGCGATCTCTGTCGCGTAGAAACGAAATGGAACGGAAATAAAAGCGTGTAACGCGATACGGAAAAGTCAATTCGAAATGGTAGACGATTTTGTAAAGCAAACGGGAGAACAGTCATCCCGTGTCCCGAGTTTCAAACGGTCCCGCAGCAGCGACTCCCTACGGATCTCGCGCTCGAGATCTTCCCTAATGCTTACGATGAAAGGGGTTCGATTGACAGAGCGAGAAAGAGAGAAGGGGTTGAAGCGACGGGACAAGGAGAAACAAGGTACAAAAGAAAAAGCTCGCGGACAGACAGAGAAGACACGATTGATTCGTTATCGAGCAGGGTTGTTGGGGGTCGTACGTGTGTCTGTGGGAGAAAGAGAGAGATCATCGGCGACGATCAGTCGCGAAAGACGATGGAACCTAGGAACTTCCTTGAAAGATGAACGTCATCCCCGACCGACCCGCGCGCGCGCGCATGTTTGTGTGTGTATGTGTACGTTTCGATTCCTCGATCTATACTCGTGTGTGTCACGCGTGAACGAGCGTGTACCGTAGTGTCCTGGAAGGAAGAGTCAATGAATCAACGCGACCTACGCGATCCTGCGTGCTTCTCTTTCTCTCCACTTCCGGTTTCGCTTCTCCTCGCCTCCATGTTCCTCTTTCCCGTTCTTCCTTTGTTTCTTCGTCTCTTACACCTCGCTCGCGTTCCTCCGCGTCTCGTCCAGTCTCCCGATTCGTTTATTTCAGTCCATCGTCAAGTTCGTGCACGTTGGCCCCGATGTGGCGTCGCGTGGAAGAGCGAGTCGCGAGTTCCGCTTCGAGAAACTTCCCTCCGGCTCGTGTTCTTCGACCAAGGGAGAAGATCCCTCCGAGATCCCCGCGATCGAGATCTCCGATTGTTTCCTCCGTTTTCCTCCTTTCTTTGTTCGCTTTTATACGAGGGCAGAGATTCGAGGTGCGACACCCGACACCTCGGTGCCGGGTTCTCCATGTTTGTTGGCGCCGATGTCCTCCGGCCTTCGTCGTCATCGGCCAGCGTTGACAGCGTCGCGGCGTCCCCGATGTCGCCCCGGGGCACCCGCTCAGAGACGGAGGCTGTTGGTCCGCTGCCACCCCATCGTTTATCGTCCACGAGCGATTACGTGGTGCCCTTCTTCCCCTTCGACTTGGCCGTCGCGTGCTCCTGGTTGCTCGACCCCGTCGTCCCGCAGCCTAGTCTCTCCAACCGCCGATAGATCTCGCTGTTCACGAAACGGGGATACGAGTCCCGGTGCATCAGGGTGTAGATCTGCAACTGGGCCTCGTCGAACGTGTGCGGCGTCGGCTGCACCATGTTACGGTTCACTATTTCGCGCACTTGCGAGTCCAGGCTCACCTGAAAATCACACAGGGGTATTAGAATCGTTCTCTGGAAGCTGCAATTTATTAATTGCCTCGCGATTACATGTATCGCGGTAATAGGACTCGGTAGATTAACGATTATATCTGACGAGACTGTCATTGACACTAGATAGACTCTAGAACTAGAATTAGGGATGATGGAAGACGTTTCTAAGCAAAGTGTCATTAGCCAAAATTTCAAATCGAACGATATTATAATATTAATTGCATCGGGATTCCGTACAGTAATGGAATTCGGTAGATTAGGGATTTATCTGACGAGACTGTCATTGACAGTATATAGACTCTAGAACTAGAATTAGGGATGATGGAAGACGTTTCTGGGCAAAGTGTCATTAGCCGAAATTTCAAATCGAGCGATATTATAATATTAATTGCATCGGGATTCCGTACAGTAATGAAATTCGGTAGATTAAGGATTTATCTGACGAGACTGTCATTGACAGTATATAGACTCTAGAACTAGAACTAGGGATGATGGAAGACGTTTCTGGGCAAAGTGTCATTAGCCGAAATTTCAAATCGAACGATATTATAATATTAATTGCATCGGGATTCCGTACAGTAATGAAATTCGGTAGATTAAGGATTTATCTGACGAGACTGTCATTGACAGTATATAGACTCTAGAACTAGAATTAGGGATGATGGAAGACGTTTCTAAGCAAAGTGTCATTAGCCGAAATTTCAAATCGAACGATATTATAATATTAATTGCATCGGGATTCCGTACAGTAATGAAATTCGGTAGATTAGGGATTTATCTGACGAGACTGTCATTGACAGTAGATAGACTCTAGAACTAGAACTAGGGATGATGGAAGTCGTTTGTGGGCAAAGTGTCATTAGCCAAAATTCCGAATTGAACAATATTATAATAACCCTTTGAGGATAGAGCGGTTTTGAGTAAACCGTACCGTAGGGCCTAGTCGCTGTCAAGATAGCCATTCAAAACTACCAACGCTCATTTTTATTGAAACTCGACTTTCGTTCCCATAGACCAACATTTTTGCCCATAGACCTTCCCAAAAACGTCCCTTCACTGCAGTACCTATCTAAATTCACAGCCAATAATAATCAAAGCATACCAATAGCCATAACAATTGGTCCAAGGTTAATAACATTAACCTTGCGAAAAGCAACTCCCCGTTCTCGCTACTTACAAAAGCAAAAGATCCGGAGTTATTCAGCCCACCTAGTTCAATAGTTGTAGTGTCAATAGTATTGATTACCGTTGTAAAGAGGTCGACAGAAGGCGACCTGATTGCAATACGGGTACAGCGAACTGGCCGCGAAATTTTCCGAATTCCATCACTCTTCCTATGAATCTTAACACATTGCCTACCACTCACGAGTTTTCTCCTGTTTCTCGTGCTATCTGTTGAGAATTGCTCACGAGTTTTCTCGTTTCTTACACGCCATCTGTTATGTCGACGCACCTTAGATGTCAACGCGCTGTCATGTCAAAACGTGTGCTCCCTGGCGCACGGCTCAAAGATTTCTACGCGGTAACGCAATGTGTTAAATAATTCACAGGCCCACACACGTGACTCGGAATACTCGAGTGTGTAGCAACGGATTTTCCTCCGAGGAAATCTACTTTCTTCGGAGATTAGAAAGCCGGGTACACAGAGATGAGTGCGCGATTGAAGAGTTTTCTCAGGTGCGGCCTGCGAGGATGTTTGAGAGCCTCGATAGCGAGAGCGATAATAATGCCGGCTATTGGCCATTTCTACGGGATACCGGATTTCCCACAGCATTCTGCAGATTACAGATTACACGAGCGTTTAAGCGTGCTCGAGGACGGCAGATGGCTACTCGGTTCTTTCGTCGAAAACAAACACGTTGCTATAACAGAAAGGAAGTTTAACCAGGGCTGTTCAACAAATGCGAACCTGCCTCGGAGGAAATATCCATCGAGATATCGATAAGGAAACCTCGTTTTCTGTAGTACGTTCTACGAGGTAGGTTCCCGCTCGTACGATCAATTTTATCGAGAAATATCATCGAGACAGGAAAGCCTACGTTTTCTGCATTGCTACAGCGCGTCGAGTATGTTCGTTCTTAGTCCCTTTTTGCCAGTTAATGGTTATGGAAAGCTTCGAATGGGAAATTTCTTAACCCCTTGCACTACGTTGAAATTCGAAAAAGACCATGTCAAACCTGTGTAGTATCGGAGTTAGAATTTGAAACGCGATATCTTGAGACTAATTGTAAGTGCGAGATAGCCGCGAATCCATTCGAGATATTCATACTTGGCCCGAGATTAAGACCACGAGTCAGACTCGTGATATTCGTGTAGTCCATTCGAGATATTCATACTTGGCCCGAGATTAAGACCACGAGTCAGGCTCGTGATATTCGTGTCTGACCCGAAATGTCGATCACGAGTCAGACTCGTGATATTCATCTTTGACCTGAATGTGGATCACGAGTCTGACTCGTGATATCCACGTTTGGCACGAAAATAAACAACGAGCCTGACTCGTGATATTCAAGTTTGGCCTAGAATTTTCATCACGAGTCAGACTCGTAAAAATAATGCAAGGGGTTAAGGAAGAATCTCTCGTTGGTATCTCTTACTCTCGTTATCGTCCATAAATACGCAAATTCGTATCTTCGAAACATCATCGTTTCAGCCTGAACTCAATCGATAAACCATTAACTGAAGCAGCAGAGTGACGTATAGTTGGTTCGAGCGACTAGCGAGGTTGTAAATTATTGTCTCCAGCGACAACCCCAATTGATATCGAAATGACACCATTAATGTCAACACTCCTCGATATCGTAGACGTTCAACTGCTGGCAGTGGGATATAAAGAATCGGCGATTTACTTTCAATTTCAATTTGGTTCGTCAATTATCTTCGAATTAATTTCATTTATTTCGATATTAAATAGTATATATTATTAACGTTAACACTTTTCACTCGAGAAGCACTCTTTTCAGTCGATATTTGATCAAATTTCGAAGCTCGATATTCATTAATATATCAAATTTAAAATAACGTAACAGAGTGCCAGGTATCGAAATCAAATAATTCTAATTATTAATTAATTACACGACTTCTTATTTACTGTTCAAAAAAATATTGTCAGCTTTATAGCAGAATATCTTTGAACTCCTACTCTTCTTTAGCCAAAAAATCGTCGAGTGCAAAGGGTTAATAATATTATTCATTTCGATATTAAAGAAAGTTATTTAACTCTTTGAGAAAAATTTTCTGCTATAAGGCTGATGATATTTTTTGAACAGTAAATAAAAAGTCGTATAATAATTAGCGCGTAGAATTATTTAATTTGTTACATTATTGTCACACTGTTACGTTATTTCAAATTTGATATATTAATTAATATCGAGCTTCGAAATTTTATCAAATGGAAATTGAAAGGAGCCTCTCGAGTGCAAAGGGTAAATATTTCGAATATTTTATATATTGTGAACCATCGTTCACAATATTGGTACTGATAATTTATTTCATCAACTACCCTCAAATATTTATGAAATATTTCGAATATTTCAAATAATATTGCTCGATACCAAATATTATTTATTATTTCCAATATTTACTCTTTCTCGAATCATTCTCACAATTTCAAAATTTAACCTCTAAAAATAAGGTATTTGGTATCACCCCAAATTACGATATCAAAAATAAAGATGTTCATATGTCCTTCTGTTCTCTACAAAATTGAAAATAATTTCAAAATCTATCCCTTTGTTTTCAAGAAAAGAAACATTTCAAATTGCAATATGAAAAATCGAGAAATTTATTCGTGATTTAGCTCGAATAGCCCATATTACGTTGTCAAAAATCGAGACGTCCATATGCCCTTCTATTTTCTACAAAATTGAAAATAATTTCAAAATCTATCCCTATGTTTCCAAGAAAAGAAACATTTCAAATTGCAATATGAAAAATCGAGAAATTTATTCGTGCTTTAGCTCGAATAGCCCATATTACGTTGTCAAAAATCGAGACGTCCATATGCCCTTCTATTTTCTACAAAATTGAAAATAATTTCAAAATCTATCCATTTGTTTTCCAGAAAAGAAACATTTCAAATTGCAATATGAAAACTCGAGAAATTTATTCGTGTTTCAGCATCGTACAGGAGAGGTTAGAGATTTTACACGCGACCTCGTCTCATCGTTCGAACCAGCCAGGCCAAGAGCCTACGCAAATTCCAGCTTATCCAACCCCCGTTCAACCCTTATCCAATCAATGGTTTCTGCAACGAACCTCTCTCTCCGAGACTGTGGATATGTAACGGTCGTAGATGTAGCGCGCGTTCTCCTCGATATTCTCGGAATTGCTCTCGCGTTTCAGCTGCTCGCAGGCCAGCCAGAACGCGATGTTCTCCTCGCTGTACTCGCTCAGCAGGACCCTGAAGAACTTGCGGCCAATGGGGTGCCTCATCAGCTTGTCGAAGGACGAGGCCCACGACCTGATCTCCTCCAGGCTGCACTCCGCGTTCCCGTCCAGCCCGTCCAGGCCGTCCAGCCCGTCCAGGCCGTACCCGGTGTCGCACAGCTCGTCCACGTCGTCCTCGTGCTCGACGACGTTGCCCTTCTTCTTCGTCTGCTCGCCCGTGCCCCCTGCGCCCGCCGTGTTTCCGCGGACCGCCGCCAAACTGTCAATTTCGTTTTACGATTCTTTTTAGTCCGCCTTCCCATCGATATCCCGACGTGCTTTCCGGGAGTTTCGCTGGGGTTGCTGAGGGGGGTGGTTATGGGGGGTGAGGTGGGGGTAGGGCGAATAGATTTTACGTGACGATTTCAAGGTGCTTTCATTTCGGTATCGGTATAGGGGTTTTCGGTACTCTGGACGGCGAAGTTGGGTTGGGGGTGTGTGTACAGCTAGATAGAGAGGTATTCGAGACTCCATGGCATGTTATGGTGAGCATGGATCGCTGTATTTTTCGGTGGTAGATTTAGAATTCTCGGCGATAAGGGTACTCTACGTGTTCCACGAATACTAATATTTTCGTGAAATTATATTTTCTCTAGTTAGAATTAAGAGATTAGGTATTATTGGGGTGGTCAGTAGATGGAGGTTTGGCAAACCAGTGTCACGAATTGGAATTACTTAGTACGGATCGAAACGGTTAGTCTGTTTTTCATTTGGATGAAATGACTATCATTTTATATTATAAATACCGATGTTATATTGTATGTTCATTGATAATAATTTTGAAATTTGTGCCATTAAATTATAGAAATCACTGGGTGCTGTCAAGTATACTGTTCTGATTCACTGTGGGTAAATTAGTAATAATTGGTAATAATAATTCGTAATACTAATTATTACTAATTATTAGTATTAATATTAATAGTAGTAATATAATAGTGTTACTAATTATTGTTACTAATTATTACTAAAGTACTAATTAGTTCTGCGAGTAAGATGAATATTAGGTTAGAAGACTACGATTCCAATGCTCAGAAATAAAAATTACTCGTCAGGGTACAACTTGACACTCCATCGTCTGTCAAAATACTATTCTCAGCGATCATACTCGCCATAAATCTCTCGGAATTAATCTACCTCTCGATTAAACGAAGACTACACGAAGGTTAGGACTGTCAACCGATCTTCGCCGAACCCAAAATTCACCACGTAAATTTCCACAGTCCGTCACGCACAAACCAGCCAAGAAGCTCCTCCGTTCCTCCTCATCCTACACCCCGGTCTACGCGATAATAATACGATACACGATATAGCCAAAGGTCGAAACAATCGGGGATTACCTCGGAATCCTCCATCTCGCCATCTCCGTGCACACTCGCGACGCGTTAGCGGAGAAACGAGCGGCGTTATCGCGCGAACTTTGGCAGCGCTTAGCGGACTACGAGCAGGAAACCGTAAAAGCGACGCAAACAAGAAGAAAATCCGCGACGGGGCCGAAGTAGAAAGGCAAAGAGATCGTTTGACGCGTGCCAGGGAAGACGATAAACCGAGACGCGGAAAATAAAAGGCGACCGTTCTCCGCTGAACGACGCCCATTATTCCGGAAGCCCGGCCGTCCCGCCTCGGCGTCGTTGACGATAACGCACTGGAACACCGCTGCGGAGGATAAACAAGCAGATAGAGAGACGCGCGTGCGACCCAGTCGGAAAAACGTCCCCCTGTCAGACAGATTTCCGCCTCGGACGGACACGTGTTACGCATCCGGCGAGGGTTTGGTGCCGGGACCGGGCCGCCTTCGCGTAATCTATCGACCCAGGGGCGGTTATCGCTTGGCAGAAACGGCTCTACGTTGGAAAAATTCGACCAATCCTCGAACGAATTCCGACCACGACCATCGCGAACCAGTCGAAACGGCTGAGGGTGACGCTCCGACGCCCAGCGCCTAGTTTCCGTGTCACGGCGTGCACAGGGTTGCGAGTTGTTTGTTTCGCGCCCCGAGATCGCTGATGCCCGACAGGATAGGGGTGGGTTGCCTTGGAGTTGTTGTAAAAAGTTGGCTAACAGATCGATACCGCCGTGAATATTTGCGGAATGGCGAGAAGGCAGGCACGACCATGGTTTCGAGCTTTGTTAGAACCGTCTTTCGGGCTTTTTCGATTTCCCGTTGTTTATTTTTATGCGAAGTTTTGAGTTTTCGGTTAATTTAGAGCTGTATGCATCGCGTTCTTGTTTATAGAGGGAAACGCGTGCAACAAGGGTGACGATGAGTATCAGAAATCGGAACACCAGTCTTCCCGTTTCAGAGCTCTGTCAACCCTTTGTGTGGGTTTCCAGGCATTCTTTTTCGTTCTTTATAAGGTCATACGTGAACAAAATGTCTTTCGTTGAATGTTTTATATGTAACGTGCTTAACACTTAGGTTAGTAGGTCGATACGTAATCTCTCTTTATACAGAAAATAATTTAGTCTATAATTTAACCCATTAGCTGCCACGATCCCCATTTGGGGATTTTGGAATTTTACGTACACCACTCGGCGCCAAAAGTATATTTGGCACGCCTGACCGTTTAGTTTTATTCTATATACATTAGTCAATGTTGTACGTAGCAAAAACTGTGTATTCTGTGCCTCGTTTCTGTACAACAAACGAACAAATGTGAAATTCGCGTGTAAGTTGAACGGAACAGAGTTATATATCATACTTGAAGCGTTATATTTTTGGTTTGGTTTTTATATTTTAATGAAATACCTACATAAATATGTAATTTAGAGGTTACATTAACGATTTGTTACTTACTCAGTCGTTTGTTTTTCATTGAAATGATTTTATCGATCATTTTATAACGATGCCCACTTGGGGACTCTCTCAAAAATATCAAATATTTTCGAAACTAAACATAATTTGAATATAATTATACTGTTATACAACCCTTTGTACATATATATAACTTATCCTGCCAAAAATTTCACAAAAAGAAACTTGGCAGTTAATGGGTTAATAAATTTAGTTCAACGTAAATTTATCAAATGAAATGTTGGATATACATAGCCTGTCACGAGTCTATTCCAACTAACTCCTTTCTTCTAGATTTGTTTTAATTTCCACCATCAGGATACTAGATTGACTCAAACAATCTTGGGTGCTCGAAATAAATTTTATCCTTCTCTTTTCTTTATTTTTCGTGGAATCGATCAATTTGACAGCACGAATGTCAACGCGATGACGTATCTCTATTCATCGTTGAATAGGTCTCGTTCCTCGCAGGAAGACTCGGGTTTCCACTTGGATTTCGAGGTACACAGTCCGAATGTTCGTGACGCGCGGGTGACAGGGTGGAAATTCGTAAGAATTCGCAAAGGGTTCGCGGGGGAAGAACGACTCGGAGGAACGCAACTGGCCTGCTTACCATTTATTCCTGTGTGCGGCATGAAACACAGAAAGAGTAGGGTACGGCTGTTCCACGGTAAATAGGTCGTAGCTCCGTTTTAAAGACAATGGACTGACATCGTTTCGCTTACGATTATATTACGAAACGCGGCGATAATGGCTTGTCACGCGGCAGGATACGCGAGTTATCGCGGGACGGTTTCGAGGATCGATCGTCGCCTGGCAGCGTCTCTTCTTTTCGCGATGGACGGATGAAAACGTTCCATCGACTCGTTGCTTTCAAGTCGAGCACGTTTCAAGCCGGGATTCCCGGTAAATACTTCGTTTCGCTTTTTTCCTCTCCCTTGTCTGCCTTTTCGTTCATCCCCGGCGACTCGAGGTCAGTTCATTGTCTCTGACCGCGGAGGCTAGCACGTACTACCGATAATTGTCAATCGTGGAGCACAGCGAGCATTGAGCATGGGACTTCTTGAGGACGAAATTTGTGGAGTTCTTAGTCCAAGTTGCAATTTCAATTAAATTTTGCAATCAAGTATATGGAGTTAAATAATTTTCTTCGGAAGCTGAAGGTTCCTCGTGTGCTTAGGGTACTGGCTGATGCAAATTGAAGTAATTAACAGCTTGCGAGTGACATCCTCACGTGTGTATCGTAATGGGAACATTTTCTGAACCAGTTCTGCCTTCATCTTTCCTTTTATTAGATTTTTTAAATGACAGTAGAAAATCACGAAGTTGCTTGAATAATTTGAACTTGGTTTTGCAATTTAGGTTTAATTTTGACAGAGGATAGGATGAAAAGAGCGTTCAGTGCTTCCATAAAGGACTATGTGAAAGTAACAGCAAGAAATCGTTAATTATCTCTTATGATCTATTAAAAATGTTAATAGAACAATCATAGACAGTATCATCGGAATTTTAATAACAAAAAAGTTGTTAAAAGGCGCAACTGAGTTAAAGGAACCGTAGGATAATAATCCTTATTCTACTTTCTGTCAAGGAGTCGAAATTCAGCAACTTTCAACCATGACAAGCAAGAAACTGTCAAAGGCACAACTGGTTTCAAGGAACCCAAGCATCGACTTTGCTTATAATACTTCTTTAAAATCCCTGAAAATTCAATAATTGTCAAAGCCTGCTTATTTCAACCCCGTCCTATCGAAAGTTTCAAATTGAACAATTGTAAATTAAGATAAACCAGCAATTATCAGAGAAGCGACAGTATTTCCCTTGAAAAGCCAGCAATTCAATAATCGTGAGCTCCAATGAACATAAAATTGTGAAAAACGCGTTCAAAGCAGAGGAACCCAGGAACCAATCAACCCTGATTTCGTTTTTCTCCGAAATCAAGCACCAGGAGCCTCCACAAACTTGGTCGAGCCGTGGACATGATCGAAGTATAGACAGGAACGGTAATACCACGAGCAACTACAACAACAGCACCAGCACAGGCAACAGTTGTCCTTCTTCGAGCGGCCCATGATCCCGGATGGCTGGCGTTGCTGTTGCTGCTGCGGCTGCTGCGACGAGGGTGGCTGCTGTTGCTGCTGTTGCTGCTGCTGAGAGGACTGCTGCGGGTTCGCCGACGATCCACTCGCCTGGCCTGCGCGGAGCCGGCACCCACCGGCGACACCCTCGCCGCCCCCTGTCCCGTGACTAACGCCGATCCCCATTGCAGTTGCACCGATTCCGCTCGACATCTGCAAACGATATCTGCTCTGGTCAGCCGGCCCTCCCATCACCGGAACCCATCGTCCATCCTCGCTAAAAATACACGCCCGCGACGAGTCACTGGAGCAAACCGATCCACGCTCCACGCGCGACCTTAACCTTCTTCCGTTTCGCCGAATTCTCGCCAATACTCGCGGGTGACTCGGACCCTACGATGGGTTCCCTTTTTAATGGGTGACTAAGAATTCAGAAAAGCGGATGCTCCCTGAATTTTCCTTCATTCTCTGTTTTTCATTTGCAGATTCCGGAGAGATCTGACATGTGGTTGGGTCTTGGGAGATGGAGAAGATGGAATGAGGAAGGTGACAGGATGATGAAGGGTGTGAGAAGATTGTCAAGTGTAAGTAGACTCAAAATTTGGGAATAATTTGCTGGAACAGGTGGATCTTCGACGAAATTTTCATACTTCTCTTTTTTTAATTTGCAGAGTCCTGAAAGTTCTGTCTCTGCTAGTTGGATCTTGGGAGATGGAGAAGATGGAACGAGGAAAGTGATGGTGAAGAGTTTGAGAATATTATCAGGCCTGAGTAGACTCGAAATTTGGTAATAGTATGCTTGGATAGATGGATAGTTCAACGAAATTTTCATCCTCTTCTGTCTTTAATTTGCAGAGTCCAGAGAGCTCTGTCTCTAGTCGTTGAGACTTGGAAGATGGAGAAGATGGAACGAGGAAAGTTATGGTGAAGAGTTTGAGAAGATTATAAGATATGAGTAGACTCAAAATTTGGTAATAATTTGCTTGGACAGGTGAATCTGCTTCTACGAAATTTTCGTACTTGTCTGTCTTAATTTGGAGACTTCAAAGAGCTCTGTCTCTGATCCTTGAATCTTGGAAGACAGAGAAGTTAAGGACTGAGAAGTGGGTGGTTGGTGATGAGTTTGAGATTATCAGACCTGGGTAAACTCAAAATTTGATAATAATGTGCTTGGACAGGTGAATCTTCTGCCAAATTTTCTTGCCTTTCTATTTTTAATTTAGAGATTTCAGAAAATTCATTCTCTGCCCCCCCCCCTCTCTCTCTCTCTCTCTCTCTCGAGTCGTTGAGTCTTGGAAGTCAGAGAAGATAGAAGATTCGTGAAAGGTTTGAGGAGATCATCAAACATGGATAGACTTAAAATTCAATAATAATACACCTGGACTCATAGTGAACAAGTTCCTCTTCCTGTTTCTGAGTGCATGGGAAGATTGGATGATAGATGTTCTTCCCAATCCCACTTCAAACCTCAAAGAACTCTTTATCCATCTAGTAGATTGAGAACTCGAATTGAAAATTCATCGAAAAATTAATTTAATCATCCATAATGATGATCAAGTAACAAAAGTCTGTATACCTAAACGTGATGCATGTTTCTGCAATGGAATCCTATTTCTGATGAAGATCTGGGAGCTGTATATCTCCAAGTGTTTCCCTTCAAAATGGTAACTTTTGTCACAATAGAAAAGTTCAATGAAAATTGGAAGATTCCAAATAGAGAAGCTTCGATTGGAAAAATTCTCAGCTCGTCAAAGGATAATCATCTTTGCGAAGCTTCACAGACATAGACTCATAGTAGAGTTAAGCCCGGTTCTAACGTCGGTCATAACGAAAATGGGACAACAATCGAGGTCTCTGTACTCGGATCGATCCAACGATAGGCACTTTTCCAGGTACTTTTCTCCGAATTAGATTGGAAAGGTAGACCTTTCTTCGAATTTCCCCTGAAAAACTTAGATCACCCTCGGTCTACTAAATCTTGCAATTAGCAGAGAGAGTAATCAGGCAAAGAGTGGGATGATTCGAACGTTATCGGAAAGTAGGAAGATTGGTTCAGCTTTATGGAGATTAGGATACGTGGGTAGACTCGAAATTGTCCGGAATGTTGGGAATAATGAGCGAAGAGTTACGGAAGTCCGTGTGCTCGGATGTGACAATTTGAAGTCACGTTGTAGACTCTGATTGCTACATCAGCCTCGGCGGAGAAAGGGACTTATCCTCTGGAGGGTTTTGATTAGGGCAATCCGATTAGGGAGCGCGGAATTGGAGAATGGAGGATTGTCGCGACGAAGGAACAGGCGGCTGGAAACGTGTGTTAATTACGTGGAATATCGACGATAATAAGGAAAGCGGTTGATCAGTGGCTCCATCTTAAACCCTTAGCCATGGAGGAACTATAGCATCCATAGACTAATCGACATGGATGATCATACAACGAAATGTCTTAAAACCTACCCTCTTCTTCGCTTTAACCGAGGTTCATGGAAAATTTCCAAACACAGGATCGAGGATCCTTTTTGAGAACGACATTAAATGAAAAATATCGTATTTTCATAATCTATTCCAGCGGTTCTCAACCTGGATACGCATATTATTGATGGGACATTGACTCTCAGGTGTTATATAAGCTGGACCAAATTATAGGAAATTGTAAAATTATAAAATTGCAAAATTACGTGCAGTGAGGTATACTACGGTGAGTAGATGGTTATTAGTATCGGTATTATGAGAAGAAAGTAGGTTGAAAATTCGTCAGTTCTTTATTACAGCTTTATTTCGTACTAAAGATAAAATTTCGCTGTTTTAGGAACGAAGATTTCAATTTGAAATGTCCGGGAACACGATTTTGGCAGATAGGTGCTTCTGCCAAAGAGCTCCTCGATTCATTGAAACGATAAAATCGATTTTGATCAGATAGAGGACGGTCAGATAATTCTGTCCGATATTCTGGTTTATCAAAGCGATGAGTGGCTAAAGAGAGGTCATTTCCACGGGTCGGGGATGGATTTTAGTCGAAAAAAGGAGAAAAGAGGGAAAGGAGGAAAGAATTGGACCACGAACCAGTTTATCATGCAGACCGAATCTCTCTCTCTCTCTCTCTCTCTCTCTCTCTCTCTCTTCCTCTCTCTCTTTCTGTCTGTGTCGATCCCACGTTCCGGGTGTATTTGAACACTTGAAAAACATCAGAGTCGGCCCGCACGCGGAAGCACGGTAAAGTCGTTAAGCTTTAATTGAAACAACCTGACCGTACGGTAATTGACACATAAGCTTTCAAAAGCCGGCCAATTTGTTTGGATACGATTGTCGTACGCTCAGCTGCACCTATCGATTGGTCTCGATATTCGGAGTCGGCGGGGAATCGACAGTGTTCGAATTCGCGATCGAGATCTCTGGAGGATCCGATTAAATTCTACAAAAATTCGAAGCTCCGAAAATAGCCAGGAATGTTAAGAATCCGAAAAGTCTTCGACCTGTCAAGTAATCGTCGTGGAAATAAATTCACGCTTTTAAACGTTTCCTCTGGTATACGAATTTTTAAAAAATATTGAGGAGGATATTAAAATTGAAAGAATGTCAAAATTCAGTGTGAGGTTCTATAGAATTCTTAGAAATTTTTAAATTAGTTTTTGGAAAAGATTTTCTCGAGATTTGGGAATTTGTTGACATCTTTCTGAGATAAGATTCTCTCCTGGTTTGAAAATTTGTAAAGATTCGATAGATTTCAGGAGTTTTTGACGCATCGAGTGAGCGTCATTAAACGTTTCTTCTTGGGCGTCAATTTTCATAAAATGGTAGAAGAATCCTCTAATAAAAGATTCCAAATAATTTTTTTGAAGATCGGGAAATTCGTGGAAACCTAAGGAACGTGCCAATCCTTTGGGAAAAGCTTCCAAAATTTTCCTAAAAATCTTAAAATTCGCGGAGATCAAAGAAACCTAACAATCTTTCAGAAAAGCTTCCAAATAATTTTCTCGAATCTAAAAATTCGTGGATGCTGAGAAAACGTACCAATCCTTTAGCAAAAGCTTCTAGAATTTCCTAAAAATCTTAAAATTCGCGGATATCGAAGAAACCTGACAATCTTCCAGAAAAGCTTCCAAATAATTTACTCTAAAATCTAAAAATTCGTTTTGGAAAGGTCTAAAAATTCGCGGATACCGAGGAAACGTACCAATCCTTTAGGAAAAGCTTCCAAAATTTTCATTTTCTCGTAGACCTAAAAAACCTAAAAGACCTATCGAAAAGTCTGCAAATTCGCGGAAATCGTTCGAAATTTGGAGGATCAATCGGTCACCCCCTCCCCCAACCCGGACCTCGTGGATCGACTCTGAAATGGTCACAATCGCGCGCATACACCGCTTCTCTCCTCTCTCTCTCTCTCTCTCTCTCTCTCTCTCTCTCTCTCTCTCTCTTTCTCTCTCTTTCTTTACACATTCTCTTTATTTTTACGCGCCGGTGTATATCGATGATCCGCTTCGCGAGCGGCTCCTCCGCGATAACGAGCGCGCTCGAGAGTCGCTTATACGGGCTGTAGGCACCGATTGATAAACAGCAGGCCTTGGCGAGGCTCGTGTGCGTGCACGAAGATGGAAAAATCGAAGAATCGGGGGACGAAATCGAGTGGGTCATTGTCACGGTTGGAAAATCTTCGCGATTTTCGAAGACGATTTCAGGAGGCGGAGAGGGTGGAAGAGGTCGAAGACGTCGCGAGGGAAGCTGGAAGATGCTTCGTGGAAAAATCTCGAGATCCATGGATGGTGAATTCGAAGCCTTCTATCGGGTGGTTTCATTTGGGGTGCAAAGTGGATAGAATAAAGAAGAGGGTGAATTAAATGGACCTCGTATATCGTAATAAATTCCTTCAAAAAGAAATATTCGAAAGAATTTTGGTTGGACGTGTAAAGAAAAATATTTGTAAAATACGAGGAAAAATTAGGAGAACATATTACAGTCGCGAATTAAATTAAATCGTAAAATTGGTAATATTTAATCGATATTCGATTTCAAAGAATAACACAATTCTACAATTCGGTGTCATTGTATATAAAATAGGGAGACAGCAAAATTGTGGGATATTCGGAAAATTTGAAGTATGGAATATTGGATATCAGAGAGAGATAATCGAATGGGAAAACGACGAGAAAGAAGAGGATCGCGTGGAATAAGAAATGATTTAATATTTACGAATATCTGAACGATAAGGAAAGCGTGGCACGGGTACAGGTTGACCGAGGAATCACCGGCGACTGTTGGAACGTTGCCCGAAAGTGCATTCGCACAATGTTTACACGCTCGGGAAGATACGAAAACATTTTCATTCGAAAAACATTCGCGCGAAAAAGATGAAAAAGTGGGAAGCATTTTCTGAAAGGCCGCGGCTCTATTTTTAAGCGCCGCATTCTCCGCACGGTCTCGCGTTTATTTCGGGCAGCATTTCCCGAAAATCATCACGAGCATTCGTGCACCGGTGCAACAAGCCCGGACACTTGTTGATGCACGTATCGTCATCGAGTGCCGGTGACTAGAAACGTCGAAACGTTCGTTATCGACGCCAATGTGCCAGAGGATCGACCCCATCGACGCTCGGTTTCAAAGCACGTGTGCAGCACGAGCAACGGAGTACCCTAAATTCCTCTTCACAGACTTTAGCTCGACTTCGCTCGACTTCGCTCGACTTCGCGAATCTGCATCGGTCAATCAGTCAACGAAGATCGCTTGGACCTCTATCTCCAGCTCGAAAACGAAATCGAGAAGAAAAACGGGAAGCGCGTGTAATTTCTGAGGGAATTTTCTCGTAAGTGGAACGTAGTTTCACGCGAGAAGCTGTGGCCTAGATCTCGATTACTTCCAACTCGAAACTACTCGGAGATATCCGCAAATAAACCGCTGGAGGTATCTCTCTCACGTTTCGAATCCACGACAAAGGTTGTAACAAGAATGACCAAAGTCGCTCGAGCAACGCTAGATCCCCGAGAGATCGCGAAACGTTTCCTGGTTTCGGCGCGTGTGTTAGCAGCAACGATTCATCCGGGCCGAATATAAATCCCGGTTGGATCAACAGGCTCGACACAATCTAGCTAACCTAAATCCTCGCCGAAGCTCGACGTTTTCCAGCTGTTAGTTCACGGTCCCTACCAAGAAACTCCGCTTCCTCCTCTTCCTCATCTAACGAATCTACCGATCAAAACTGAAATTCGTGTCTCTACGACTCGCCAAGCGTGCAGCAACGCGGACGAAAAAGTTTCACAGAGAAAACAACTCGCGACAGAGAGAGAGAGAGAGAGAGAGAGAGAGAGAGAGAGAGAGAGGGAGAGGGGCAGAGAAATAGAGAGAGAGAGAGAGGGAGAGAGAGAAAGAGTGGGAGAAGGAGAGACAGGACGCAAGCTCTCGTTCGCATCTGAACCATCGACAGGGCATCTCTCAATCGATATCGCATCGCCTCACCTCTATCATGTTCCATGCGCCCGAAAGCGAGTCCAGCTCGCTTCCCGCGTTCCTGCGATCTGAGCTTAAGGACGTTGACGGTCGTGCCGCGACCAAGCACCCTTTAATCCGACGTTTATCCTGCTGCTCACGGCACGCGTCGCGTACACGTTACCCTTATCCCGGTCCGGCAGCGGGACTAAGGCCTCTACGGGCCTCGCCCGAACCCTGCATGCTCCCAGCACGCGCGCCACGCAGCTCTCTTCTCGCCGATATTCTCTACGATCGCCAGCAACTTTGCACTCTGCACTCACTAGGACGGACACATACGCGCGCACCACGCACCACACGCGCCGATGCTCGGCTACGCGAGCCGCCCCTTGCTCGCCGTGCTCCACGTAGTCTGCTCACCGATCCTCTCGACGATGCTCCTCGGGACTAGGCTGACGGTGGTAGCGGTGGCGGTGGTCGCGATGCTTGAGCAACAACGATCGCACGAATCGGCGCGACTCGGTCCAGCCAGCGGATCGTCCTCGCGCATTATAACAGTACACCAACGGCCATTTCCCGCCCGCTGGCTCGTCCAGCCGCGAAAGCTCCAGCCGAGCTTCTCCACGCACCGGCAGTCACCGCCGGCAGCGGGATCACCAGCGCGATCACCAGCGGGACACGTTCAACGACACCCAACGACCGGACGACAGCACGACGACACCCAACCCCATCCAGCGAGCGGAGCAGCTCCGGCGACAGGAGAGCAACCGCCGCGCGGTGGTAGCCGCGGAGCGCGCAGATCGGCTCGACACACGACGCGAGAAGGGAAGGCGGATGCGCGACGGTCGATCACACGCCAAGGGAAGATAGACTCTCAATGGCGTCCCCTATGGGTGGGCTGCGGTGGTCGCGCCGCTAGCCAGACTCCTCTGTCGTTGATCCTGTCCCATGAGGATTTCGTCGTCGCCACGACCGTCCATCGACACCGTCACACGACCGGCGATCTTCTCCACTTGTCTCTCTTCTCCTCTCTCCCTCTGATCCTCTCGAACCAGCGAACGATCGCCAGAGAATCGTGTGTGTCTGTGTGTCTGTGTGTGTGTATATATATGCGCGTGTGTGCGCGCGCGCGCGTTCGACTTTGGATGGATGGATGGATGGACGAGAGAGCGTGTCTCGTTAGGTAGTAGTCGGCTCCAGCGACGACGATTATGGCGATTACTCGGCAACGACCAGCAACACGTAGACGAGGGACTGGACTTTGGCGATGGTGTCTGCCGAGAGCTGGCTGTTGCTCGCTGCCGCTCGTCTCTCTCGACGGATCGACGAGGTTCGTGGTCGTGGAGCTCGCGGCGCGGTTCGTTCGGGCTGTTGCTCGCGTGGGCGGCCGAACACGGCGCTGTTCTCGCTACGTAGTCCGCTACGTTGACGGAGTATAAATAGGTTTCGTGGCTGTTTGAAGGTGCTGCGTGCAGGGCGCTGGCGCGGCCAGCAGCTAGAGCGCCGCTACCGCCGCCTCTGCTGGCTGTGGCCGCTGCTGCGTTCCGTTTCGCCGCGACGTCGCCGTCCTCGTGTGTGCTCTCTAGCTCTGCTGCAGTCGAGAGACCAGTCGTGGATCAGCGTGGTCTATCACCACCGTGCTCGATCGACAACCGTCGCTGTCGTGGTCGTGGTCGTTGTCGTCGTCGTCGTCGTCGTCGTCGTTGTGGTCGTGGTCGTGGTCGTCGTGTGCTCGACGTCGCGGTTGTCGCGGTCGTGGTCGGTCGCGGTGGAGGACAGGAGAGAGAGAGGGAGAGAGAGAGAGAGAGAGAGAGAGTGGAGAGAACTCGGGAGGCTCGGTGTGTGAGCCGCTGAAAGGGCGGCGGAAGCTAGGAAGAGCAAGCGGAAGCGAGGGGAGAAGAAAGGCGGGAGGCGGGCAGCGAGCGCGGGGGCAAAGAGGAACGGCGCGAATCGGACGGAAGAGGGAAACGGGAAGGCATCGCCGACCGAGAGAGAGAGAGCCTCTCTCAATGCATCTGGACAATTTTTTCAAACGCTTTCAATGGATCACGGCGGCGATGGTGGCCCATGGGTGGTGGTCGTGCGTTCTGGTCGTGAAGCCGGGCCGGGAGCGACGGAAAGCTCGTGTGGCTGACGGTGGACGAGGCGACGAGGGAACGGATAGAACGAGAGAGAGCGAGAGAGAAAGAGAGAGAGAGAGAGAGAGAAGGGAGAGGAAGGCAGAGAGCAGAGCGTGAACGAGTCGGTGCGCTGGTTATTGATTGGCAGAAGTCGAGACCAGAGGGAGAGACGAGCCCACGGCGCTGTCACGCTGGACACCGACCAGCTAACCCGCTAACGTTCCACCTCGAGATTCCCGGTGTCGTTTCCACCGGAACTACCACGGACTCGGTGTGTTCCCTCGAATCCTCTGTACACGCACACACGCTCGCACAAGGGGAAACACGCGCGCGAGATCGGACGCGAGTACGCCGGGTAAAGAGCGGTGTCTTCTCAGTCGATCGAATCGACTGGCGGCTGCTGGCCACGACGAACGATGTCACTGAACCCGTGAACGCGTGTTCTCATTGATACGCAAGGTTCCGCGGAAACTAGTCACGCTAGTCGATTCGAGTTAACGGTCCACTCGCGCGTCCATCGCACGGCCACGCGATACAGCGCGCAGTCAGACTGGCTGCGTCGGTGAACCGGCGGAGAAAAAGGAACAGGGTCAGAAGAGCGAGTTCCTGCCAGCCAAGGGGTGTAGGCCAAGGGTGGTACTACTACGCTCGTGTCCAGCGATCCAGCCCCGAAGCACCGCGCACTTTTTGCGCTCACACTTTCCCAGCCACTATCACCGGAGCACACTTCCTTCCAGCCTCTCTCTCTCTTCTTCCCTTCTTCGCCCCTCTCCCTCTCTTCGCCCTCTCTCGCCCTCTCTCCCACCCTCTCCCGCTCGGCCCCTCGGTCCGTCTCTGTCCTCCAGCGGGGTCCGTCTTTCACACCCTGTTTCACTGCCGCTGCAAAAAACGTTCCAGGCCTATCTCTCCGCCTGTCCTACGACGCGATTTACCCTCTTCCACCGCCGCCACCCCGTTTCTTCCAGCACGCTCGTGGATCGCGCGGGCACACACGCCCTCGTTTCTCACCCCCACGGCCGGATCTCGGCCGAAGCTTCGCGAGAGAGCCGCCTCTTCCTCTCTCTCTCTCTCTTTCTCTCTCTCTCTCTCTCCTCCACTCTCTCTCTCTTTCTCTCTCTCTCTCTCTCTCTCTCTCTCTCTCTCTCTCTCTCTGTCACGCCGACTGAACGGGTTCCTCGCGGCCAATATGGCGGATTACGCGCTCACGCGATGCGTTGGCCACCACTGTTGCCTCCGTCGTCGACGGTCCCAGCGACGCTGACGCGAGGCGCCGCGACGCGAACCTAGCCGCCGCGCCACCGCCACGCCGTAAAACGCCGACGCCGACGCCGACGCAGCCCGGCCTCTCCGGGGTTCATGCTCGCGATCCTGCGTGCGAACGACCCGCCGATCGACTCTCTCTCTCTCTCTCTCTCTCTCTCTCTCTTTCTCTCTCTCTCTCTGTCCAGTGTAAGCCTCCCTCTCTTTCTCTCTCGGCTTCTGTCGATCGCGCGACGATGTCCTTTTTCGTCGTCGGAGGTTCACCAGAGTGGCCGAGGGGGAGAGAGAGAGGGCGAGAGAGAGGGAGCGTGTGTCAATGAGACCCTACGAGTTCTACGATTTTTATCCGGTTTTCCGAGAATGCCGCCGGCGGTTTGGAGGGGTTCTTTTTAGGCTGCTTAATGATCCCGGTTTGGTTTGGGTTTTTCATTGAGCTGCTCGGTGTTTGGGGTGTAGTCGGAGGTGAGAGAGCATCATGAATGAAGGGGTTTCGTGGTAATTCCGTTTGACCTTCTTCAGGTACGCCTTTTGATATGCTCGTTTTCTCCTCTTATCCTTCGCTTACTTCCAGGGTGGTTTTAATTATCGGGACCCGGGGGATGTTTTGTTCCTCCTCCGCTTCGCTTCGTTCTCCTTTTTCCTTTTCACAGGGTCGCGGTTGCGGGTACGTGTCCGTAGGTTGGGCGAAGGGTGGTGTACTACGATGGCTGTAACAGGTGCCGTTTCTCGCGTAGTTGGCGCGCAACAATACGCGTGTGATCTGCGTGAGAATAATAAGCGATGACGCGTACCACGTGCCACCACGGATGACGTCGGGCTTTGACGTCGACCAAGTGTGCTTGGTCTTATCGTCTCTCGCGCTCGAATTCCTCGAAATTTTCTTCCCATGCAAATTTCGCCACTTATATAATACCTTCTTATGAATTTAAATATCTCTCGGTTGCTTTCGCGTTTCCTTTGTAATTCCACGCACGGAATTTCCCGCGAGTGTCGTTTTCGGGGTAACTGCAATAGCCATTTTTACAATGCCAATGTTTTATTTTTATTCTTTAGTCTGTTTTTATTCCTCGGACATTGGAAATGCAGAGGAAAATTGCGAAGGTTCGTGAAAGGGTAAAATTTTATTCCTGCCTTTAGTCTGGGGTCGGCTATGGAGGAATAGTTTGGAGAAATTTATGGGAGTTTAAAATATAGGCGATTGGTTCTTTTCATCGTTATGCAAAAGCACTTTGTACTTATTTCACAGCGCGCAAAAGCGTACTCGCCTCGTAACCCGATCGATTCCCCCGATTTCACGTGTTCCTTTATCAGCCAAGGAAATTACACGCGTTCCATAATTTTCCCGTACATTTACGCACGTCTGTACGTCATAATACGCCTTCTTATACGCGAGACCGGTCGCCCTTACCTTCCTTAGGGTGTACTCGCCTTTCGTTTATTTACACTGTCCTCTGAGCGGTCGTGCGGCTGGATATAAAATGTTCCACTTGGAAGAAAATTCGAAACTCAGGGTAGAAAAGTTTCATCGAAATCCGAGACGTTCAAAGTGAGGGGAGATCGATAAACTGACATGGACGTAGGGATGGTTGCCGGTGAAAATATTTTTATTTCTCGAAGAAAATTAGAAGGTTAGATTTACAGATTATTCCATTGGTAAATCAATTTCCCGTCGAGAGCAGTAATCGATAATTATAATTAGAGATAATTGGGGTTATTATGGAGTATTATAGCGGAGTTTGCTGTACGGATCTCTCCTTGTGGGCGGAATCGAGTGGAACCCATATGGTAAAGCAGTACGAGTCCCTTTGAATCGAATCTTCTGCCATCTGATAACGGAAGGCTCAAGTTTACGAGAAAGCAACGCGATTGTACCGACGGAGAAACAGTCCGCGTAGTCCTGTCGATAATTCAGTTACCTGTAATTTACTCGGTCCGACGTCGCTTCCCTCGGTATACCTAGAATTCTACGGCAAACTGGGGAACCAAAGAACAATACAATGATTCCTTTAATTCGTCTGACCCTTTGTGTTCGAAGCCTGTACCTTTCCTAACGGTAGCTTCGTGGAAAGCAGCGTTTCAAAGTGACCAAAGTTTATTACCACGCTAATTGTACGCGAGTGTTTCTGCCGGTTCGAGTTTCATCGTCGTTTCTTGTACCATTGGAGGAAACGTTATTTCGAATTGAAGATAGGAAATGTCAAGTAACGACCTTCGATATTACGAGCTTGGGCAAGATTCTAGCGAGAGATAATTTTTAAAGACCCCACTGGGTGATCGATTCGCCCAGATATCGAATTTTTCTATAAATAGAAAGCCCCTAAAAACTCCATCACAGCGGCTCATGCTTTAAGCTTGGATGGTTCGACCCGCCACCCTCTCTAGACCCTTTGCTTATTTTCGTCTTAAAAATTAAAGTTAAATTTCCATAAATCTCTCTTTTTCTATCTCTCTCTCTCTCTCTCTTCTCTCTCTCTCTCTCCCTATTTCTGCCATTCTCTTCGAGTTGCCAAAAATTACCATTTCCATTGACCAAGAACCTGCTGCGTCATCCATCTTCCTTTCCCTTCCTCCGAACTATGCCTACGTACTATCCTTTGCCCGGTTCAAACGCAGTTTCCCAAAGCTTCACGAAGATGTCCAACCAGGGACGGCCCAAGCCTCCCACGAGTGGGTAACACACCCTCGGTCGGGGTAAGGATACGAACATCCGGCGAGCGACTTCCGTCACCCCCTCGAAACGTTCTATACCCAACGGTCCCCGCGCAGCCCGTTCGAAAATACGACCGGGCCTGCGAAGACCCAACAACGTTCCAGACCCTTCCGAGGAAAGGTTCCCTCGGCAAGGACCTCGAAGGGCCTCCGTAAATTCTCCTCCCTACCCAACGAATCCGCCCCTCGACTGGCAGACTGCTGCGTCGTGAACACGTGCAGGGAGGTTCGGTTGGGCTAGCTGCGTGTGCGTGTAGCGAAGAAGGAAGAGACGGGCCGGCAGAGTGAGGTCGCAGACGCACGTACACACGCAGCGGACACATGCGTGGACGCCTGCACAGCGTGGAACGAACGCACCAACACGCGTGCAGCGATACGTCGTCGGCTCCGCATCATCCTCGTCGTCCTAGACGTTTCTCTGCCTGTGCTCGATGTGTGCGGAGCGAGAGAGAAAGAGAGAGTGAGAGAGAGAGAGAGAGAGAGAGAGAAGAAGAAGGTAGCGCGAGCGAGAAAGGCGGCGTGTAGGAGTGAGAGAAAGAGAGGGAAGACAGAGTGGGACGAGTGAAAGAGGGAGGAGGAGGGGGGGAGGAAGGGAGGGAGGGAGGGGAGGGAACAGGCTCGA